TTAGAACATATTGAAAAATTGGTATAATTATTGATTTCCATATGGAGAAAGGAATTTTGAGATTTAAAGGGTGATAAATGAGTAGAAATGAGTTTAAGTATGTATATGAGAGTTAAGAATATGGTAGGGGATGAAATATGAAGTGTTTAAGTAGAATTGGAGTGATTTTCGGGCTTAAAAATGAATTCTGGGCTAGTGTGCATCGGTACACATTCAACATGTACTGATGCATCAGGGGTAAATTTCTAGAAATTATTCAGTGTGTATCGATGCACAGGAAGTGCATCGATGCACCCCTTAAAAATGAAAACATCGAATGCAATTTCTGTATCGATGCATAGTTAATGCATCTATAAACATACTAAGGAATGTACCGATGTACTACAGAGTATACCGATGCACTTCAAAGGGAAATTGGAAGTAGCCTTTCTTTTAGTTTAAGAAATGAACGATTAGAATATTGATATGGATTCATGTATTATTGTGTAGATACCAATCGAGAACAAGTTTCGGAATGATTGCAAGGTTAGAATTGATCCAGAAGAGAAAGTAAGCCATAGGAGTAATTGATAGCAAGTGAGGCACATATGAGTGCATATTAGATAGTGTATTATGTTTAATGGAAATAAGACTTGCGACAAGTCTATTTCCTATAGTAGAATACATGAACTCTTTAATATGAGCATATGTTTGACATGATACATGTGTTATTAATTGTTGCATATGTTAAATGATATGTGTGAATACATGTTTATATGATACATGATAAATGTCTATGATATATGTACACATGATAATATGATATAAGTTAAATTATGTAATATGATACATTACTATGAGATAAGTGAATGAATGTATATATGATATAGGTTATGCATGAGATATATGAGAAGCGGTAGATGTGATTATGTGAAAAAGAATATAAACATATATTAAGCCATGTTATATGTGATAAATTAATGATATGAAAAGTAACATGAACTACGTGAAAAGAAGCTACATGATTACATGTACATGTGAAAGAAGTTATGAGCTTATAAGAATATGTGATATGTTTATATGAATATGTGAAATGATAAATAATAATGCCCATGTTATATGTCATGAGGGCTAGAAGTATAGTTGGCATGCCAAGAGTCGAGGGATTTTCAGTGGTCCTTCGGGACATAGTGGTTATTCGGGACATTTCATAGTGGTCTTTCGGGACAAATTCATATGCCCCTAGTAGGACCACATACGAGTTGTGGTGACAACATAGTGCACAACCTCAATAGACTCACATATATATAGTTCTCACATGTGTACATGGGCTAATAAAGAAATAATACCCAATACACTATATGTAATATGTATGTTTGGTAATGTGAAATGTGTTACAGAAATTTCATGATGACATGTTTGTTCTTTGGTGTAGTGATATACATGTTACATGATGTGTATATATATATGGTAAGATAAAAAAGGGTAATATGATAAAGGAGATTAATGATTATGATAAGAGTAATAATAAGGATAAAATGATATGTATCGGTATGTATTTATGTTCTGATGCATAACGTATTTTATAGTGTATTACGATTACATAAAGTATGCATAATAGGAATTAGAAATGATATGTTATAGTAAGTTTATTTATGCCTCAATAAGTCATAGACTTAGCGTGTGAGTGTTTCACACGTAAGTTCCGGAAAGCGAGAAGCGGAGCGATGAGGAGCAAGATAGGTCAGATTCTCCTTACCATAGATCAAATCAGAATTGTAATTGAGTATATGTATTATGTTATATAGAGTGTAGTTGGCATGGAGTCTAAAGATAAAAGTTTTATAAGCTCTGATATGTTTTGTAAAAACAAATGCTTTTAATAAATGAAAATTTAATCATTTTCTTGAATTATGAATTTGAATGTCATTTTATAAAGGAAAATGTTTGAAAAGTCAACGTGACACACGGATTCGTATCTGAGTCGATTACGAGTTGGGGGTGTTACATATATGGTCGAGTCCGGGGTCCATACCCATCCCTAACTGACAGTGGCCACCTCAGTGGTGGTCATTTCCCTCATTTCGTATCACCCGTGTCACAATAAGGATTCTCTCTCTACCAAGGACTACAAACAGAGAGAATACTTACCCTTACAAAAGAATCAGAGCAAATTTACCTTCTTTAGCATACGTTTTCAGCCAGACTCACTTATGCATGCATGAAAAAACAAAAAAGATTCACAATATAAAAGAAGAGAGAATCAGAAACAAGAAAAGATGGGGGGTTTTTGGTTCGAAAACAATAGAAAAAACATAAAAAAGAAAGAAAGAAAGAGAGAATACGAAAAGAGAAGGAAACCTTACCCTTTTTTTCATCGGAGCCCATCCCCGCTGCATTGGAGTTGAAGAGACCCTTAGATCATCAAAGGTAGCTTATTTACCTTGAGTTTCGATTTAGGGTCAAGTTAGAAGGTGAAAGACAGGGGCTTTATGGTTTTGTTCGAGTGTTTAGGAGAGATTTTCGTCGTATGGCCACCAATTGACGGTGGTCGGAGCGAGGGGCTCTATCTCCCACGATGAAGGAAAAAGAAGAGATTTGAGAGAGGGATATTTACAGATAATCCGAAATTGAAATTTATTCGATCTGATTATCTAAAAAAAATTGAATGTCTGAATTATTCAAAAATAAAAAAATGGATCAGATATTCAAATTTTTAAATCAAATCACTGAATCAACATATCAGATTGATCAGGTAAGATCTTTTTGCACAACACTTGGCAACATAATAAAAACAACGATTTGTTTAATATTTTATAATGAAAATAAGTAGTAAAATAACAAGTTGAAAAGGAAAAAGGGTGTAACAAAGCCAAGTGGGTAAGTAAATAAATGAGTTTTCATTTCCAATTCAAAATCAGATATGATCCACAGAAAGCTTCCCAATCACAAAAGTTCCCCTCAATAATCCATACATATTTGCTCGAATACTTTCTTTCGCTTTTGGGATTTTTAATAATGTACTATTGAAATAATAATAGTCATATCAATTTAGTTAAGATTTAATTTTTAATAATTTTAAGGTCTAAAGTTTTTAAATATTGAAACCGCTTAAATACACGAAAAGCATGGAACAGTGAAAGAGCGAAGGCATGGTTATGGATAGGGATGGTAACGGGTCGGGTTCGGGTCGGGTATTGGTCTCTCTGTCCCCGTCTTCGTTTAAAAAAATCGGTACCCGTCCCCGTTTAAAAAACCGCAGAGATTTAAACGGGGATTCCGTCGGGTAATCGGGGAAAGCCGCGGGAAAATGGGTATCCCCGTTTAGCACAAACGGTTATTTAAACAGGTATTGGGTCGGGTATTGGGTCGGGTATTGGGTCGGTATTGGGCCGGGAATCGGGCCGGGTATATATATATATTTAAATTAAATATATATTTTTTATTTAAATTAAATTTATTAATATTATATATATATATATATATAAATAATTATTTTTAATATTTATCGGGTAGGGTATCGGGGCGGATAATCGGGGCAGGGATTACCAAACTCGTCCCCGTCCTCGTTTAAAATAAATAAATTTTCCCCATCCCCGTTCCCGTCCCCATTTATCATCCCTGAACCCGACTCATTTAATTTGATTTTCAATTTTTTTCGTCGGGTTCGAGTTTTTTGCCATCCCTAGTTATAGAGATCTCGGGATATCAAAAAGGCGAAGCAATCGGATGCTACGCGTCAACATCTGCTGGATCGGGCGCCACTCACAAGACTAAAGATTTACTGCCGCCAGCTTACTGTGCCACCAACCACGTGTACGTTAATCCTTTGATCGGTGGAAGTGGTTCATGTCACGTGATCCTTAACACGTGTCTTCGTACGAACTTCTGTCAGATTGGGATTATTTTATTCGTACGGATCATGTGCTCGGTTTTTTGTCCGTTTGTGATACCTGATCAGACGTGGTGCCGTCACAGCCGTTTATTTCCAAAGATCGAGGAGATTTTGGATTCTAGTGCTCCTACGTGTACTTTCCGTAAATTCTATGTTATTAGAATAATTTGTCCATTTCGTATCTAATCCTTGTAATATTTCTATATATTGGTTAACTGATATTTAATGTTTTGTAGTCCTTTCAAAATTTCAATTAATATTATTTTATATTTTTTATTTTAAATAACCTTAAACAATTACAATTTTTATATTGAATTGATGTTGCATTCAATATAACATTTTATTTATTTGTTTAAGATTGCAAAAGTTTCATTGATTCATTAAAAGGCATGGTTAAAACTTATTAAATAAGTTGAAGCCACCCTAAGCTAAGCATTTAACTTCATCGTTAATTTAGTGCTCTGCTTGGAAAATATCGACAACCTAATGCGTACACTAGAGAAAAGGTATTCAGTGTTGCTAAACTACACAAGGGGTTATCCGTGGAACTGCAGCTATGTTTGGCGGGTTCTTAACTGCCTAGCGTAGGGGATTAATTACACGTGGATGCAATGCAGAATCCCGAATCATCTGCCCATTTGATCGTGGCTGCCAATCTCTGCTCTCCGTCAACGTGTCATTGATTCACCAAAACCGAATATATCTTAGGATTTCTGGCTAAAATTTCGTATTATTATATCAAAATCTCGAGATTGTCCTTTGATGTTTCCAGTAATTTAATTTAGCCTAATTTTGATTTAATAATTGTTAAATTGGAGAAGCTACCGTTAAGGATCACCTAAACTCGCGATATTTTATTTAGTTTGTTCCGCGATAAGCGACAACGCCTCTCAAAAATATCCTACAGGGTCCCCAAGCAACCGGTTTTCAATTCACAGGAAGGGAAAGTTATAAAATGACCTGACCGTGATATTTTCCTCTCAAAGAGATAAGCACAAATCTCTAACTCTCTGGGTCCCACTGATGCCAACAGTGAAGACTAAACCTAATGACTTGAAATCAACGGCTACGCGAAGCCCGTGAGAATTGTCTCACCGTCACATCTACCGTACTTTTCAATCGGAAGATTTTTAACTTAACCATGGTTAACTCGAACAACTACGGGTTACAAATGCAGTTTATAATGAAGAGAACCGCTCCTCCTCTTAGAATCAGTGAACGATGCCCAAAAATGATGATCGGAGAACCAACCCGACCAAATCCCACAGTCAAAATCCCCGCATGGGAACCATTCAACGATCCTACTTCTAGTATTTCCTCCGTCAACTATAACTGCAATGCAACGTCCAGCCCTTGCCCCGTCGACTACCTTTTCGCACTCCAACGTTACCTTCCGTCGAACAACTTCGACTCAGATTCGCTTAGTGAGGAGTCGGACTTACCCGTCGATGCGATCTCGTGTGTCAATTTCCGGATGTATGAATTCAAGGTGAGGAGGTGCGCTCGTGGAAGGTCGCATGACTGGACTGAATGTCCGTACGCCCACCCAGGTGAGAAGGCCCGACGGAGAGATCCGAGGAAGTTCCATTATTCTGGAACGGCCTGCCCTGATTTCCGCAAGGGAATCTGCAAGAAAGGCGATTCGTGTGAGTTCGCTCATGGTGTCTTTGAGTGTTGGCTCCACCCTGCCCGTTACCGTACCCAGCCATGTAAAGACGGTACTAGTTGCAAACGAAGGGTCTGTTTTTTCGCTCACACGCCGGAGCAGCTCCGACTCTTGCCCCAGCAGAGTCCGAGGGGGGATGGGTTAGGTTCAGGTGAGATAGATTACGTACGTACACCTGTACGTCGCCGTTTAGACTTCGCTTCTTCACCCACTTCCATTTTGGCATCACCTCCGTCATCCTCACCATCCGATTCACCCCCCATATCGCCAAGTGGCTCGTTTTTCTCGGTGAGCGAGCTCGCTGCCAACATGCGTAGCATGCAGCTTGGTAAGGCTAAAATGAGCGGCGCTTGTTCTTGGGGCCTGCAAACCGGATCGGGTTTCGGTTCCCCTAGGGGATCCACTCTCCGTCCTGGATTTTGCAGGTCTCCGTCAACCCCGACCCGGTCTGGGCTGGGCCAGTTTGATCTATGGGAATGTAACTATTCGGAAGAAGAACCGGCAATGGAGAGGGTGGAGTCCGGAAGAGACTTGAGGGCCAGGATATATGCAAAGCTGAGTAAAGAAAATTCCCTGGATGGACCCGAATCAATGGGGTTGGATCCCGATCTTGACTGGGTATCCGAATTGGTAAAGTGATTGGATGCTGGGCTTTCTGTTTGGATTTATTTACGGGAATTCTTTATATATAAAATTCGGTTGCCATAATCCGAGGTTCTGACGTGTGTGAATATTGATGTTTCTGCGTGTAAATTGACGACGGAGAAAGGGGGATGGGGAAGTCTCTATTTTGTGGTGCATTTTATTTTTAATATTGTTTCTGCCTGTAAAGACAAGTGTCAATTATCAGAGCTGCGGAAGAATGGTAAGCCGTTTGTTTATCGGTATGAAATCTCTTGGTTATATCTGTAATTTCCTGTGATACGACTAACATTGTAATATGTTGCATTTGTTTGCTTAAAATGGAGCTCTTGGCATGAAATAAAAATATCATTTTCATGTCAATTGAAAGTGGGGAACGTCTTATCTTTGAGTTTGGCTTCTTTAACGTAATTCCTACCTGATTGGTGTGTGAGTTAATAGGAGCAATGAAAACAACTTATTGACTTGATCATCACCTTTAAAGTGTTCATCACTTAATCTTTTATTTTATCTTCTATTTGAGCTTTAAATGCTCTTAATTTTTTCATTGGGATTTATTATTTATTAAAACCTTGTGGGATTTTTTTATTACTAAATCTTCTTTCTTCTATTTTAGTTATCCCGTTATAAAATTTCTCATTAAATTTATAATATATTGAGATTTGTTTCAAAAAATTTTATTCTTCTATTTTAGTTACCTGTTGTTTATGTAACGAACACCGTTTAAGAAAAGCAAACAAATTATCCCCTTTTTAAAAAAACAAAAACAAAAATTTTAAAATCGACGTGAAAAATAAAATTTTCACAAGAACTTTCAAAATCGACATTAAAATAAAAAATTTCAATTTAATGATGGACTGATTAAAAAAATAAAAAATTAAAGTATAATACATAAAATATTAAAAAATTCAAAAGGAAATTGAAGTATAATATATGAAATATTGAAAAAAATTAAAGTATAATGTATAAAATAAGAGAATAAAATTGAATTATTAAAATTATAATTTATCCTTAAAATATTTCTGACATGGAGTTCTTGTAAAATTACTATTGGAAATAATATTGAAATGAGATTATTAAAATATTATATTATTTAATATTTTATTAAAAATATTATCATATTTAATTTATTTAATATAAATATAAAATTAAAATATTTGATTAAAAAAAAGTAAGATAAGAAAAATATATATTTAAAAAAAAACTCAAAAGAAACTCTAAAAGAAATGCTCTTAAATAAATTTGAGTATGTGGGTGATTTTTTCGGTATATCACCGGTGATCGGTATTAATATCGATATAACATCAGTCAGTTATATTGTCTGATTTAACATGCTTAGCAGGAAAACGCGCTCACTGAACCGCATTATATGTTGATTTGGTTCTACGTGGATATAATGCGTCTCCTGTCTCGCGATATACGGTGATCTGGCGCCACGTGGGTATAGCGCGTCCCCTGATTCGTGTTATACCTGGATATCTGACACGTGGGGTATAGCGCGGTGCAGGAGACGCGCTATACACCTAAATACCCAACCTTTCACGTCACCATCTCCCTATAAATACCCCATCCTCAATCACTTTTATCACACCAAATTCTCTCAAATTCTCTAAATTTCTCTCAAATACTCTATTTTAAGGTATATTTTATAATATTTTTATTATTATGTTTTTACTTTATTTAATATTTTATTAATATAATTCTTGTGCAGATATATAATGGAAGACAGTCTACTTCGCTCGGATGGAAATCATATATCTCTACACTTTGCTAATACGATAATATTTTAACGTTTTAGTTTAATTTAAATTATTAGTAATATTTAGTTGATTGATTTAATGCATGACTATTAGATTAAGAATTAAATATCTCGACACTTTACTAATACGACAACATTTTAACGTTTTAATTTAATTTAAATTATTAGTAATAATTAGTTGATTCATTTAATGCATGATTATTATATTAAAAATTAATTTTTGTAATTATTTATTTTTAGGAGAAGAACCGTGTATTAGATCCTTTTATTAGGAATCTTAAGTTAGTGATACCCAACCGTATCTTGTCGTATTTAGTAGAGGCTGGATTCGGTTACATAGGTAGATATCAGGGTCACTGTAAGATAGAGCCAAACCTGATTTATGCCTTAGTAGAGCGGTGGAGGCCGGAGACCCACACATTCCATCTTCCGTGCGGAGAGTGCACGATCACGCTTGAGGATGTTTCTATGCACCTTGGGCTTCCGGTTGATGGAGATGTGATATCGGGGACAGCTTCCGGTTCTTGGACTACTTTGTGTCGGGATAGTCTAGAACGTGTCCTGGAAAATTTTATCGGAGGTAGGATACCGTTAAATTGGTTAGATGCTAATTTTCGGGAGTTGAGCGCAGACGCCTCTGAGGATGAGGTTAAGATGTATGCACGGGCACGCATACTGCAGCTGATAGGAGGGTTGTTGATGTCGGACAAATCGCGCAACCTAGTTCACTGCATGTGGTTGCGACATCTTAGTGACTTTCATCTCGCCGGATCATTCAGTTGGGGCTCGGCAGTTTTGGCTTTGCTGTACAGGGAGATGTGTGGAGCCATTGACTACAGGCGTAATGCTATCGGCGGATGTCTCCTGCTGCTGCAGTCTTAGGCATGGTATCGATTACCCTTTTTATGTCTCGTTGTGAAGAACCCATTCGTATTTCCACTACTTCTGAGGTAATTATAAACCTGATTTTGTATATTAATAATTTTATACAGCGTATAACAATTTTTTTCCTTGAATAGGTGGTCTACTGATAGGAAAAATCATCAGGAGCTACCTGATGATTTAGAAAAAATTAGGGTGTTAATCGATCAGAAGGCTGGCACACATGTATGAATTTTAATGTTAAAAAATCGATTTTAGATTATAGTTATATAATTAGATTATTATTTTGATAAAAATTATATATTATTTGTTTTAGTTTGAATGAGTGTCATATTCTACTGATGATGTGAGGGTGATGATCCCACCTGAGTTGAGGGGTCCATCAGATGTTTGGATGGCGATGGTCCATCTGATCTGTTATGCGACCGTCGAGTGGCATTCCAATGATCGCGTGCTCCGACAGTTTGGTTGTTTTCAACCAATTCCGAAAGCACCTCGCAATATGGATGAGTTGCATAGCTTAGATAGACGCGGCAAGACAGATACAGATTGGTTGGTGAGGCATCATGGGTGGGTCGTGTTGTGGGAGGATCGACATCGGCGCCTTCCCCGTAGAGAGCCCATTTTTGATGACCTCTTGATGTATGCTGAGGATTATTATGAGTGGTTCAACAGTAACGGGAAACTGTTTCTACTTCCCGAGGATGCACGAGGGCAGACCTTTCTACGACGTCGACAGAGACGTTCACCGACACAGCATCATCGTCCCCCGACTCGTGGACGGAGAGTAGGTGCTTCCGGTTCATCCTCAGCTGCACCAGCAGGACCTTCCCAACAGCCACCGCAACCATATATGATGCCGCAACCATATATGATGCCGACATCGCCTTTCCATTACCAGATGCCGCCGCCGCCGCCTTCACCTGGTTTTATGACCCCGCCACCGCCACCGTCACAGATGACCCCTCATGGAGGCTATTATGGGTCTATGTTTGCAGATCTAACTTGGGGTTCGTATGCTGGATATTTGGCGGGTTCATCCTCATCACCCATGGTCGCAGCACAGACACCTCCTGTATAGTTTTCACACTCAGCGATGTCTGGGTTTTTCCAGTTTTCGTATGCCGGTGGGATAGTCAGTCATACACCTCCAGGGTCCTTATTCTATGGAGGTGCTTCATCGTCATCAGCTCCTCATCAACCTGATGTACCTGCTCAGGACGACGACGATGACGATGACGACGATGACGATGGTGACGACGACGATGACGATGATGATGACAGCGATGAGTCAGAACCAGTGATACGAAGAAATCCTCCTCGAGACCGACAGCTACCGTCATGCGGAACACATTTGCGACGTAGGCATCGATAGATTTTTTTTTAATTGTAATTTTTTATTATTTTTCATTTAATACTTACTTTATTTTGTTAAATTTGTTGGACTTTTTTTTAATATATTTTAGTTAATTTTGTTTATTACCATTTAATATCAGTTATTGTAATTTGGTTATCATTTACCATTTTATTCTTATTGTAAGTTTGTTGTATTTAAATATCAAATTGTTATTAGTTTGATAAAATTTAATAATTGTGTTTATTTTTTAATCTTCATCAGCGATTATCGAATGACATTAACTTGAAGTAAATGCAAATTAAAATACAAGAATTATTATTTGATAAACAAATACATCATTTCCTCATCAACTGTTACTTGATGACAACAGAAGTGGACATGTTTTTCTAGTGTGTCATGGGTTTCTACAATGGCTACATCTTCTGTCTTGTCTAGATCTTTCTCGAATATCCATATCGCAATGAATTCGATTGGATTTTGGACGACCACGCTCCCTCAATAAACTTGGATTTGGTACAATCGGAAGCCAATCTTGAACCTCATCAGTGTCTTTATCATTACCTTTGGGGGGAAACTCAAATTCGTATACCTTAAAAACTTCAGATAGTAGGTATACGGGATCCACAAAATGGTTATAGTCTTGATGTGTATGCGAGCAAGCTGCTATCACATGAGAGCATGGATACTTCAGAGTCATGAAGTTTGACAATGTCATTTTGTTTTGCCAACCAAGCTTTTTTATAGGAGACGGTGTACCCATACTGCGATTGTATAGCTGAAATCAACACTGCAATAGCTATATGAGAGCTTGCTTTTACCATGGGCATGATGGCTTGGCATATCACTTCAGAGTCCAAGTTCGGATGATCTTGGCTGACCCCTCCAGCACAACATGTATGAGGACCATTGTATACTGTTAGTTCCCATATATTGTTTTTCCTCTTCATTTTCGATACGCGAACCATCCAATTACATCCATTTTCACGTCGGGCACAATAGCATACATATTTTTCAGTCGTCGATCGGTTGACTCTGGACTGAACAAAATTACAGATATTGTAATTTTTTATAGCCATCATCGTTTCTTCTTTGCTTGAAAACTCCATGCCTAAAGATAACTCACCATCATTTATTGATGAGTAATATCCATAGTCACCGAGATGAGGCATATCCGCAAATTCTGGCCCGTACATTGCACCATAATCAGCTTCATACATGTGTGCAGGAGGGTCAGTTTGTGCCAT